TTTCAACTTTCCTAGAATGAAAATAATTAGGATTAAAATATAAATACCCACTGAAAATAATTTGACCCTAGATTTGCAACAGTCCCCAAATGTTTCTAATCATCAAAGCACTAAAAAGATACCAATAGGTTAATTGCCTTTATGTTGGAAAATGGGAATAGAGAGAAGACATAATAAATGGAGATTTTCACATTTTAATGTACCTAACTCTAAGGAATTAAGACCTTTGGGAATGAGAATGCTTTCATATATTAATTTGTGTGGTTTTAGATAACCACCAGCTAAAATTTAATGTCATTTAACACTTTTCTTACGAAGAAAAGTAGAGTAGGCAGTACCATAAAACTAACTAAAGGTCCCCAAACTTCAAAATAGTAAGAAATAACTTCAAAAATAAAAATGCTAAAAATATGTCCATTGGTATTAGAAAAATAAAATCCACGAAAACTTGTTTTTATACATCTCCCTCAAATAGTCATGTGTAAATAATAACTAACATATACACATTATGTTTAGGAAGGTTAATTTGTAACTCTATTTTCAGAACCTAGACCACAATTTCTTTCTGAGACTGTAGCAGTGGCTGGCTCAAAGGAAAAGCTCCATGAATGCAGATCCTTATCTAAGTGAATTACGTATTTAATGTACCATCAATGCTTATAATGGTACCTGACTTTCAATAAACATCTGCTAAATCAATTAAGCAAAGGAATATATGAAGAACAATGTACAAAATGAGGCTGTTAGGGTTGGTCCTAATCCAATCTGGTGGCCTCATCAGAAGAAGCCATTAGGACACACAGAGGCAGGCCAGATGTGTGCAACAGAGGAAAGATCATGTGAGGACAGAGAGAAGGTGGCCATCTACAAGCTAAGGAGAGAGGCCTCAAGAGAAATCAAAACTGCTGATACCTTGATCTTGAATATCTAGCCTCCAGAATTATAAGAAAATTAATTTTAATTGTTTAAACCTCCTATTCTGTGGGATCTTATTATGGTAACCCTAGTGAATCAACATACAAAAATGTATTTAAAAGAATAAGACTTTGTAGTATTTATTTAAAATTAAAAGTTAAATCAATAAATCCACAGAAACTGACAATGGTGACAACACTGAATATTTACTGAAGACCTACAATGTGTCAGGACCATGCTAAGCACCACATTTTTAAAACCTAATTTCATCTTCACAGAAAAATCTTACAAAGTCTAGTGTCACTCCAAAAAATTAAAGCTTTGTTAACAGGAAATCTATATACTGTAGGAGCAAAAGATAAGCAGCTGACTTTGACTCTTCTTACACAGTACCAGAGTACTTTATACAAAATTGTCCATTAAAAGTTAAACATTTATTACCTTAACTATAAAAACATGTTTCTTTAAACCAGTAAGTGGAATTAGTACTTTAGTCTTTAAAAGAGGTTTAACTGCTTTCTCAGGAAGCTCCAATTCTGGCCTACAAGTTATTACATAATGACAAAGTGTCAGGTGCTATTCTAGATGTTTTCCATATATTAGCTTTTCACATATTAATCACAAAGATTAAGTTAGGTAGTTGTCAAAGGTCTTAAGACTGATATTCAACTGAGAAGTGTGCTCCAGATTACATGTTCTTAATATACTATACAGAATCATATTATTTCCCATAAAAATAAGATATGATAAAAGACTCAAAAGAGCAGAATCCAAAAACAATAGTTTTATTAGATAAAACCATTCATGTCACAGATCTTTCATTATATAAAAACATATTAAACATATACCTCTTCTGGAAACAGGAAACAAAAATAACAAGCTAAACAGAGTTTGCTCTCCTGTAATAGAACTTCTCAATCTACAAGAAATGCCTTTTTCAGATGAAGAAATCTATGCCAGATAAGCTAAATGACTCAGCACTTTGCTGACTCATGACATTTCTACATGCTGTTCCCTCTGACTTTTGACTCCCACCCAAGCCCACTTCTTCGTGTGACTAACTCCTTTACCTCTTAACTCAAATGTCACTCTCTCACAGCAAGGCTTTCCCATCTCCCCAATCTGAATTAGGCACATTCTTCCATTATTCTCTCTCACAGCATTCAGATCTTTACCTTTATAGTACTTATCATAATCTGAAAATATTTACTTGTTTAAAGTAAAATTTTTCATCTCCTCCACAAAACTACTACTTTCAGAAAGACAGAGACTATGTTATTGTATCTTATAAAAAGGGTAGCACAGCTCCTGGAACATAACAGATCCTGATTAAATATTCCATTAATAGATGAATCAATGAATCACTTTGTGTCTGATAAAATTAACTGTTATTATTTACTGAGCACTTACTATATACCGGAACTGCTCCAAATGCTTTATATATAGTCTCACATTTAATTCTTACAGTATATAAATGTTTTTGTTATCTTCATTTAACAGATTAGAAAGTGAGGGAGATTAAATAATTTGAAGTCACAGCAAAACAGTAAGAGTAAGAATTCAACTGTAAGCCATCTGACTCTCACTCTTAAATACTATGGTAAAGCTGCCACAGCATACCAAAGTTACTTTTACAATGAGAATTCTCTTTGTAGAAATTGATTGGTGGGACCTATGTGGGAGTGTATTTTTAACTTGACCAGAAAAAGCATTACACAAGGAATAAAAAGTTCATTAACCATTATCAAACTTTCTTCAGATAGTCTCAGAGAACATAATCATAAAGATATCTCAAATGTGGGACACTCCCTACATGTGCACCTACCTAATTTATCTACCACATACTAATTAATTTTGAAAGGCTATGAAGAAGCACCTGGACTTTTCCTTTTCAATATCACCCTTTTTTTTAAAGAGTCCTTGCCTCAGGTAACAGAACAAAGAATTAACGCCAAAACAAACATGCCACAGGCTATTTGGTCAGTATTAAGGGAATATGAAAATATTTTTCATTTTTAAAAACATGTGACTTTGTTTCTGCATTTTTGTGGCCAAAATGAAATCCGCATGGAAAACTAACAACAAATAATAACATCCTTCTGTTACTATACATTTTCTTTTGTTTCCCTTTCCTTTAACACCATGAATTTTAACTACCAACTTAATCTAACACAGAACAATGACTACCCTTGCCACAAAAACAGGACAGGTCAAGGTCTGTCATATTTCCTTCCAAAAAATACAACTCCAAATTCCAGTCCCTCTTCCATAACTATACTGAATCATAAGTATGAGAAAACAATGCATCTGTTTCAAATATATGTAATATGAATCTATACATCAAATAGGTAATAATAATGGTTAACACTTAGCACTATAAACAGACTTATATATTTTGTTAATTCACTTAATCCCACAACAACCCCAATGACATAGGTATTATTACCTGTATTCTACAGGCTGGAACTCAAAAGACATTAAGAAACCTGCTTGTATTCACCACAATCTTGAGTTAGACCACGGCAGAGCTAGGATTCAACTACTTTATATTTTCCCTATCTTACAGGAACTTTCATAACTCAACTGTCATGTACTGTAATCTCTCACCCTCCCCACTACAGCATTCTACTAGCTGAAGCCTCACTACTTTCACTGATTAAAAACAAAACCTCATTACTTTCCAAGGCAGCCTGTTGCTCAAACCTACTCCAAATTAACTTCTTGATTCCTTCGACCCTACCTCAGATGGCATCATTTCAAGTCCCTGAGCATTCCTCCCTTGAGTACCCAACTCTATCAATGTGCCTTTTAAAACAGGGCAACAGGGCTTCCAGAATGAATTAAATATTCTAGGCATGGCCCAATCATCTTAAAATAAAGAAAACCTATCTCTTATCATCTTAAAAACTATATAAACGCAGTCCAAAGTTTACTATTTTGGGCAACCATATCACCAATGACTTTTTGCCTGATTAACATTTAAGGAAAATTATTCTTTAATTAATAATTACTGATAAGCAATCTATTCCCTGAATTCATCACATACAAATACAGATCACTATTCTGGTTCAATTACACTTCTACCTAGCCAAAGACCTTCCCAATTTCTGGATTTTGGCTCATCACTTAAAACCATTCCCATCATTTCAGTTTTAACTCATTTGTAAAATTATTCAACATGCCACCACTGCCCCCATATAAGGCAATGATAAAATGTTTAATAGGAGAGGACAAAACCCTAAAACCTGTCCTTGGGGAATTTCTGTCCACCTTCATTAGCCTCCTTAGAATAAAGCTATTACATTAGTTATAAAGCTGTCTTTCCACATCCTTACTTGTTGTTACTCCATATCATCCCAAGTATGTCAGACCCTTTCAAATACCTTATTGGTGTATCTCACACCTACTGCACTACCCTGATCTACAAGTTCAATAAACCTATCAAAGAAAGAGGGAATGAAAGAGAAGAAAACAACAAAGGTTAGTCTGTCATGACTTGTTCTTAGAGAAACCCATGTTGACACACAGTGATCACTGCTCTTCTTGGTGTTCCATCAAGAAGAATAAAAACACTGTTGATGAAAAACAGAATTTGATTCTATAATTTAACTACAAGGACAAAAACAGATGGTTTTATACTTAGGTGGTAAAAATATGGATATTCTTACAGATTCTCCTTTAATAACATAAATGAAATAGTCACTGCAAACATTTATAATATTTCCAATTGGTGCCACAATGGCCTGCAAAGACAAATTTCATAATTACTTTCAGTTATTAAAATGTCTTTGTTGGGTTTCTCATATGTTTAAATGAATCTCAGTTCATTAACTGCGGGAATCCAAGTTAGCTGTATTCTGAATCTCAGTGTTTCAGGGCTGGAAGAGACCTGATGTTTGTAATACAACTGCCTTCTTTTGTAGATGAAGACACTGAGGCTCTCAAGAGATTGAATGACTTGCCCATAAAGCTGATTCTGACACAGGCATAGAAATTACATCTACTTAGGGACTACTGATAATGTTTCACAAAACCATGCTGTCAAAAAAAAAGTAACGGAAAGAACAACACAAATATTTTCTTACCAGTTGGACTTCACCAAAAGCACCTCTTCCAATAACTTTTACAACATCGTAGTCTTCTGCCTTCATCTGTAGACCTCTGATTTTTTTTACTATTTTCTCATCTATAATAAAAAGTTTACCATATTTGTAATAACAATCATCATATTAATGAGCAGTATATTTTAATATAAAATAGACTTTGCGAAGAAATTTTTATTTCAAGACACTAGGATTAGTTTTCAGCTACATGTCAGCTTTTAAAGTTGCTGTTTAAAATCTAAGATACACATTAACTTTTTACATCAAAGAATCGAAACTATGGCTTATTAACACATAAAAACAAACACTACTGACTACCAAAAAATAGCATTTAAGATACTCTGTTTCTGACTCTGCTGACTGGCTAACTAGATGACAGCTGAAACAGAGGTGACCCTAGCAAATCCTGGAGTGCATTCTCAATCACGGCAAAAAGCTGCTATGAAATTACCTGCAAGACTAAAATCTTAGCAATGAATTTTGGTAGCCTACTTTTTAGAAGAACAGTAATCAACTATTTGTAGATATGGTAACTAAAGACAAAGTTTTTTAATTAGGAAAATAACCCTGTCTCTGACAATTCCAAATTAAAGAGCTTAGTGTAGTGATATAAAGTATATACTAATTATTTTGAGAATTTTTTAATTCAATTTCATTTACTACTTCATTGTGACATCAATATGGCAAGTATCAAGAGTTACCACATATATGGCAATAATTGTCATCACATTATTTTTCATTAACTAGCCTAAAATGTCTATATTTACACCAACATAAAGCTCATTAAGTCTTCTGGGTGATGTAAAAGCAAAGTCTTAAAGTTATTAACATTAATTTAAGTCTTTTCTTGGAATTGCCATAAATAACCTACCCTGAAACCACTAGTCTTAAGAATTTGTACAAAATATTTAACTTTACCTAACTTCACATGCTGCAATTGCTTCTGTAAGTTTGCTTTGAAAACAAAGAATATTAGGATTTAAAGAAATCAAATGGCAAACTAAAAAATACTTATGTTAATAAGTTAGTAAGTTTATAGACTACAATAGAAATCAAACATAAATCTTTTACTGAAAGTATACTTATGTCATCAAATATTAAGTTTACACATACTTACATCTATTTAAGAAATTATCTATATTCTTATTTTTCCTCAAAGCAGGAAAATCCAAATCAAGAACCAAGGAATTTAAGCCATCCTGTTTAACAAAATATAAAAAGAAGAAAAAGAAAGTTAATAATTCCCAGGCATTAAAGACAAAAAAAGTCTTTAAATTTTATCATATATTGTTCTCACTGAAAAAATGTCAAACCACTTTGTTATAAAATTGCCCAATGGCTCCATATCCAACAGCTTTAACTGGTTTACTAACTTCTACCAGAAAATGTAAGGATTCACCCTATCATGTTATCCTTTGTTCTTTTAGCCAACAAAAAGAATGTAATTTTAAAATATGCATCCACTATTATTTTTGTAGTCAGATGTCTTTTCTCTCCTCAAATGCCCAGTAAAATTTCAAAAGCTTTTGACTTTAAGAAATACACCCAGACTAAGGAAGTTCCCATTCTTGCAACAAGCATTAATTTTGTGCCTAGTGCATACAAAGAACAGAAAATCTCAAAATAAGTAAGATACTATCCTTACCCTCAGAGAACTCAGCCTCAAAACTAAGTATCTCCTAAAAACATGAAAACAGTATGCTACACTGTTCAGATTTCTATATAAGTTTCTCCCTATGCACTAGGTAAAACCTCAACCCAGACGGGAGAATTCTTCACTCTGAGAAAGAATTTTCATGCAGGTCAGACAATGTAGGTAAGGAAGAATTCATTAAAGCAAGAGAGAATAGTAGTGAATGGCAGCAGACATGCAGGGAGGAGAGAACAAGAAGAGCAGAGGGAGTAAAGGGAAGCTCACTGAACTCCTGCTCGGCTTAAGGCAAAATCCCATGACAACTCCTAAAGCCAGCATCACCTGGCGTCCAGTGTCCACTTGAATCTGCACAGCATGGGATCTAAGCCCCTACCACCCGGGGATTTGGGGGAGCGCTGAGCACTGGAGTGAGTTTATGTTCGGAAAACTACTTCCCTACTGGTCTGAAACAAAACAGGGAGACAAAAGGATTGTGTTAAGACTAGAAACCTGAATCAAATATCAAAATGACAAAGACATTTACCACCAGAGGTGGTGGTTGGAGAGTTCTTGTCTTTATCATGGAAAAGAGTTCAGGGACAAGTGCAATTGGCCTATGCAACAAGAAAATTTATTTGATGTATGACAATA